TGTTTTCGTCGCGCTGTGATGACGTCACGTACGCGCTTTCGTCGAGCGCGCTTTTGTCTGCCGCGGTTTTGTGGTGGCACCCATTAATAAAGGAGGAATATTAAGGCAGTTGGAAGTTGGGTGGGGAGAGCTGGAAATTTGTTTAAGCCACTTTAAAAAAAAAAAAAAGCCAAGATGTGAGAAGGATGAGGCCGGTGATACCTAGCTCTGGCTTTGGAGGGAAGTAGGAACTACTAGCCATCGGTGAAAAGCCATCTCCTTAGCTGAAAATACCTTTCCATCAGTGCACTGAGAAGGTCAGTGAAGAGAAAAGTGGCCCTCCCCTGCACACACTTTATAGAACATAATTGGGATTTGGGGATCCCAGTCCAAGGTTATCCCCCTTCTTTCCCAGTATTTTGGGGTCACAGGTAGGACAGAGGCAGGAAAGAACACAAGGTGTCGCTCACAGTCCATTGACATTCAAAAGGGGGGGCTCGTCAGAGAGGTGGCTTCCCAGCGTTTCTTTTCACAGAAACCAATTCTCGTTACTCAGAGAGATACCGAAGCCTCTGGGTGCCCCCACTCATACTCCGCCTCCCACCCACCCCTTCTCCTTCTGTCCGCTTGACTCGCTGCAGCTCGTCCCCACTCTCCCCACCAAGGCGCTTGACCCGCAGAAGATTGGGGGGGTCGGGGAGGTCTCCTCCATCAAAAATGGCACGACGCAGGCGCCGGGGGGCCAGTGGGAGGCGCTGTGAAGGCAGGTTGCTTGCTCCCGACAGGATCCTGCCAATCAGATACCTGAAAAGGACAGAGAAAGGTAGAATTGGGGGGCTTACCACTCCACTCATGCCACCATTTTAATCCGCAAGCATCTTTTGCAGGTATTGATCTGCAGACTCAGTTCATACTAAGCTATGGTTTACGAAACATGGCTTTTATTAAAAGGGCTTTGATGGCTGGGCTGCTGCATATTCTTAAACCATGGCTTGCATATTACAACAGCCACGTTCACACTTCATCCTGAGCCAAGCAAAACGCTTAACGCATTAGAAGGTTTCCCACCTCCCTTAGCAATAGCAATAGCAGTTAGACTTATATACCGCTTCGTAGGGCTTTCAGCCCTCTCTAAGCGGTTTACAGAGTCAGCATATCGCCCCCCACAG